ACGCTTTAAGATTGAAAATTATAAAATTTTAATTGAGTATTACTATAGTTGTTTTTTAGATGAAAATAGTTATTACTACAGTTATTTAGTAGAATGGAAAAAAGAAAGAGATAATGCTGTAACTTTTTTTGAGAATTTGTTTGAGGAATATCAGGGGTTATACGGCACTGTACAAGAAGAAGCAGCACCACCTCCGCCTCCGAAATCAAAAAAAGGTTTTGCCGGAATAGTCGGTGGTCTTCTTGCAAAGAAAGGGAAGCGTGCTCATTCTTCGACGAGTTCAAGTGGTACAACAGTAAGCTCGCACAACGAACTTGCTATGTACCAGGGTGTGCCATGCGATTACGACGACGACGACGTGGATTTTGATGTGCTCGGATGGTGGAAGCGGAACGAACACATGTTCCCATGTCTCGGCATGCTAGCAAGACAAGTGTTATCCGTTCCGGTATCAACCGTAGCAGTTGAACGAGAATTCAGTGCTAGCGGCAACATTCTAACCGACTTTCGAAGTTGTCTTAGCGCTGAATCTCTTGAAACACTGGTTTGCAACCAAGATTGGCTCTTGGCAAGACGTCGAGCTCAAGAGTCATCGTACCTACTCGAATCGGAGCATTACATGAATGCAACAACAGATGGAAGTCCGAGTTCTGAAGAATAAGTTGCAATTTTTTTATATTAATGTAGATATGTAATTAGTTTTTTTAGGTGAGCGATATATAAGCTCCTTCGAGGGTTTCTTTACGGTTCTTTACATCGTCGCTTTTTTTGAACCGTTAGGATATTAAATGTGGTTGTTCTTCAGTTAGTGTATTATTCATTTAAAATATTTAAATAACAACTACATTTTTAGATTTTTTATTTCATTCTTTCCTTAAACAATTGCAAATTTATAATTTTATACTTTAAAAATTTTAAAAAAAAGCAAAAAAAAAAAATAGGAGGGGGGCCGAAACCGGCCGGTCCGGTACCGGAACCGCCGGTCTGGGAACCGGAACCGGTACCGGCCGGCACGGTGACGGTTCCGGTGACATGGGGTGGCGGTACCGGAACCGTACCAGAACCGTACCGTGTCCACCGCTAATCCGAGCACCTGCGTCGCTGCGAGAATTGGGGGGCAAATCCGACCTCCTATTTCGCCAGATTTTCGATCGGTTACCTTATTCCTTTTTCGCCGGATTTTCGCCGGGGGGCAATTTCCCTGGCATGCCCCCTCCTCCGCCCCTGTGGCATCAAGGATGTTTGAGAGGGGTATGTAGCACAAGGTTTTGGAGCATGTACATCTACTCCAAAATTTGTAGCTCATTTGATTTTTCACACTTACACAAAGTGTTGGTGTGTTAACAAAAATTTACACTCACACAAAGTGTTAGTGCGTTAACAAAAATTAGCATTATACCAACACAAAATTTGGTGCACCTATGCGGTGTACAAAATGGGGTACAAATTCTTGGGGTACAAATAGTTTTACCCTACTTTTCCTTTTTAGTACTAAAAAGAGGTATGTGGTACGGAGTATGTGTTATCATTTATTTAATTAATTGATCATTGACCTTACAAATATCCTAGTGAAATTTGCACTGAATAGTACTAAAACAGATGTCATTTCCCAATTTAGTACTTAAATTTTTTTATTCTCTAAATAGTACTTGAATAATATCTAGTGGCAGGAACATTTGAGTGATGTTGGACATTTAATTTGAACAATGTCCAGTAACGATAAACATTACGAAATATCCTACGAAATAAAAACATATGGTACTATATTGGGAAAGTCATTATGTTTTAGTACTACTTAGTGAATTTCCTCAATATCCCGCGCATTTATTTGATAAGTATTGATGAACATAATTATCTTTACGACCTAATTAGGGTTTTCCTTGAGTGTATATATAAAGAAGTCATTAGCCAGAAGTTAACGCACCTATCTTATGTTAGACAAGGCGTGCAACTCTAGAGGGTGTTGAAACACGGGTTTATCGTGTTTTCGTACTAAAGCTGTGTTTGTTTTTATGACAGGTTTTGATAATGCCAAACCGCCGTGAATGAGACAAGATGTTAAATATACAAGGCAAGAAATAAGCATAAGAAGAAAGCAAGAGAACAAGAGCTAAAAGAGACCAAGAACGAAGACCGCAGTCTTTAGTATTGCTGAGTCGGTCATAATTGTAATCAAGACCGACCCAACCCTCACGCATTGGCTCTTTAGGCTAAAACCTTTCACTACATTTCTTACATTATAAAAATGTTTTTCAAACTTGTTTAAGTCATTAAAAACACTTGGTGTTCGCCCAAACCAAAAACCAAGCCATCCAGCGTTCGGGTTTCAGAAACCGGCGTTCGGCTCTCGGTTATCGGCTATGGTTTTTGGCGTCCGAACCAACCGAGTGGTTTTCAACTTTTTATGATTTGTTTTCACTCTTTGGCATGTTTAAACGGTTCTCCAACAAAAACACTTCGAAAACCATCTTTCGCTTTTGATCGTTTGACAAAAATCATTCAAAACGGCATAAACTTGGCTAGCCGTGGTTTTCAC